ACGACTCGGGCCATCGAGGAACGGGCTCTAATCAATACACGCTGTTACTACAGGATGACACAAGATCCCATCTCCTGCAGCGTTTGTTCTCTGCTTGAATTAAAAAGAAAAATGTCTTGTTCCTGAAAAAACTGAAGCGACCTGACATTCGCGATTTGAGGCTGTGATTATTGAGATGTTTACTTACACGTTAATCAGTAACAAAAAATCATCATATACAGGGTTAGTCTAAATGATGTTCCAGATTTGAAAAACATCTTACTGGCGTTTAATAAAATTCAGATGCACAATATTGGTACCGATGGAAAGAGAAACTCTCCAAGTTTATGTTGGTATACTTCGTGGCCGCGTAGTAACACTGTTCGCCGCCAGGGGCGATATGAGAGAAAATGGCTGCCATCGAAGACAGGGCAGCCTTTTGTGTCCTGGATTTCCACGTTCAAAGGTCTGTTATTAGTGTGCAACGGCGTTTCTGAACTAAGTTTTGCGGCAGATCCACCCAGTGGGCATACAATTCGTAAGAGGCAGCCATTGAAGCAATCGATCATGATATGGTGTAACGTGTCTGGGAGGAACTCGACAACATGTGTGCCGAGTCACCAAAGGGGCTCACATTGAACACCTGTGATGTACTAAAATGAAAAAAAAAACTTGGAGAGTTTCTCTTTCCATGGGTACCAATTTTGTGCTTCTGAATTTCATTAAACGTGAGTAGTATGTCTTTCAAATCGGTAACATCATTTAGACTAACCCTGTATTAGAAACTCTGTCACAGAACACGTGATGTACATCTACTGACACTGGAAGGTGATGTAAGGACATGCAGAGATATTTCGTTATCACGGGAGAAGAATTTTTGTTGAATGGGTTTGAAGATGAAATGTAGACTCGAGGATTAACTTCATTTTAGCTACCTGTTCCAAATAAAGTAACAACATTTCCAGCATGTGTGTTCTTGAATGTCGAAGTCCATATGGAAATATGACGTACGAGCTATAAAAATGAATAGGAAGTCCTCGGTTGAAGTATTTTTTTTTCTGAGACGGTCACAAACTTATTCTTATTCGACACAAGGAAAACGAAAAATAAACCCACACAGAATTATAAAAGATGAAACCGAATGTTACGATAAACCATCTGCAAGGGTGTCTTAGTTTGGAGAGCGTCAAGACGCAGTGCCTCAAGATTCTTATAAAATATCCTCAGACACGTATCACATGTTGACACAGTGTTCCAGACGCATCCGATGATATTTCACAGTCGCCAATGAAATCAATGTCTCACGACAAGGAAGAAATTTTATGGTGTTTAAACTTGCCGATAAGTTAAAATTCATTCTGGTTATATTATCTGCTTCGAAACCCAATCACTAAATATCCTTATTCCTGCCCTTGTAGCCGCCCTACCTGTAACTATCGTGCTTAGATAATGCTATCCGGACGATAAAGCTTACACGTATTATGAGCTCTTCATTTCAAGGTCACTGTTTGTGCAGATAAATTTCGTAATACAGTTAACGAAGGATTCTAATGGCTTCACAGCCCAGGAATGCGATCTATAAGGAAAGAACCCCAACACAACGGAGCAGTAAGACGGCTGTACGTAAGGCTGTTCCTACCTTTTACCACGCGACTTTGCTCTAGGGAAGAACGATGTTACTTCTTCTCACCGCCTGCAAAGACAAACAAATATTTTTCGTTAACAATCGAAAAGCAAAGTAACAGACTGACTCATCCACTAACTCTCAGATTGAAAACCACCAGAATACATCGATTTCTCGAATCCCTTCTTTCCGCGACTGATAATCGATTCTATCGATGCTGATTCTCACTCTGACCCCGGTTGAGCTTTTCAGCTGCTCATTAACCTCAATACACGGCAACCAGAACGCGCATCATAAATTTTCATGTGGCTCGTACAGATAACGGCACACCGAAATGCAACTTTTCCATAAATTCATAGTCTTATAACCTTTCTCTATACCGACCATATTACTGGTCATTGATATTCTCTGACGCATTCTATAAACGTATAAACCAAGATAAATACGTTATGCTATTATCGTTACACACAAGACAAGAAACAACACCAAAGCGCAAATGATATAAGGTTCATAAAGTTCTATCTGCCACGTTGCCTAGCGCTGCTAAGAAAACTTTTAAGTTAAACAAAATTTGCCTCTGCTATTCTTGACTGCTTAGCAGAGAACGTGTCAACCTTTGGAATCCACAAACGCAGAAAGCCGATGATAATTGTTTTGATTTGTTTTTCCTTTCGTGCCGAAATTGGCCACCGATTTTCCAGAAATTCCGAAAGGATAAGACAGTCAGCAGCTGATCTTAATATTGACTTGCTTAACAAAAATAGATCATAAAAGCCTGAACATATAACTACTCAAACTGCAATTACCAGGTAAAAGTTGTTGGAAGGTGTCTAAGACGTAATCAGCTGCTCCCAGTAAACTGGATGTCCTGTGTACAGTTCCACGCCGAGCCCTGGAATGAAAGTAAACACGTCAGTCAACAAGCTACAGTTGTTACGGCTATGCTTAGCATATTATGAACCATGACCTCCTACTTTGAAAGACGAAAGTATTAAACGTGTTTAGAAACAAAGTACTCAGAAATTATATGGACCCAAAATATTTAAGGTAAGAACGAATTAGGCTATACCACGATGAGAATATTCGAAATTTGTACGTCTCCCGATATTGCTGCAAGAGTTCAATTAGTGTCGACATATAACACAGATGGAAGACAGAAGGGTATAGTGGTCAGAATATATTTAGCGGAATTAAAGTACAACTCCGAGGCCCCCCTCCGATATACAAATATGCAGACCCCTAAATCTAACATGAAACCGAAAATGAAAATTAACAAATATTTGCAAATAATTCAAATAAAATACAGGATTCATCAGGAACGAATAAATATTACGCATGATAAATAAACCAAATTTGGCTGGATAAATTGATCTAGCAGTGGCTTTTAAGTGTGTAATACCTGAGTTACTCTCTTGCTTTGTCGTTCTTGGGTCAAAATATTCTCTTGAAATTCTTTCTTCAAAACACTTACAAATTATATTATTTCCTCAAATTATATAAGCACATTTTACACCCGTTCAGAACAAAAAGTAATTTGTTTTCTTCGCGTAAAAAGATAAAAAATTATTTCTTCTCCTGCGTAAGGAAATTATTCAAATAATAATATACCGTAAGAAAGGATTAAAGTTCATGCACTTAAATAAATTTACAGCACAGCCAGAAGAATGACTGATACACGCTGTTTCCACAAATAGTCCCTCCTTGAATATGTCGCCCATAGAGGGACTTAGAAGTTTCGTAAGGTTACACAACAAAATTCATTCCGAGAAGATGAATATAAATTCCGCCCAGCACTGAAGAATTTACCCACAAACATTCACTAGAAACTTGCGAATAAATTCACTGCATGTGTGAGGTTCGCCTCAACTCCTGGCGCATTTCAGGGCTACGTACAGCCGGCAAATAAAGCTGGTACAATATATTTCACTCAAAACTGACGCCGCTTGTTGAGTGAGTGTGACCACACGAACTTCCTAGTAAGGACATTCGAGAGAGTTCTAATTCACGCAGTCCACTCTGTGCCAAGGAAAATTTTAAATCAAATTCTTAGATGTTTAACAGTGATTTCCGTAAGAGTGCTTAATATTTGTTTCATAAGTACAGATATTACGTAAGTTTCTTATATATTTAAAGGATGTGTCAGCAAAGACGGGAAACTTCGAATGTCAATATTTATATTTGGTAAAGAAGATAAAACTTAATACATCAAATGTAAGTGAATATTTGGGGATGAAAGACGCCCTCAGAGCATTTTAGTGGCTACCAGAATGAAAAACGAAGCCGGAAAATCTCGGGATGAGTACGCGGATGAAACAGCGTATTTTCAAGAACTCACGTCGATGAACACGGCGTATGAAAATCTTATGTTGCAAACCTCCGATCAGTCGTACAAATCATAAAGAGTAGTAAATGTCCCTCTATAAACATAGATTATTCGGTCAGTGATAATTTAAGATCAAGCCACAATTTCTTTTTAAATCAGTGATTTAACGCAGTTCTTTTTCACTTTTAAAATAAAGCATGCCATGTGGAATTTTCAAAATCACAATTAATTCTGAAACTTTACTACAATTCTTTGACAGCGGAGGTTTATCATAAGGTATTTATTCCATCTGGGACAAAATACAGTGCGTATTATTTATATTAAAAAACAATAATAATTTACCTCGTAATGGAAACTGACAATGTACTAATAATATCTTCCGCCAACTGCCAAATATGTGGCTGGTTCGAAAATTCATCGACAAATTTTTAAAATTGAGGTTCTCAAGGCGGTCGACTTTAAAGTCGGTTTTGGTTGTAAACCAACGCATAAGAGGAACATACTTTTCCCATTCATCCTACCTCCAAACGTAACGTTAACCACGAAGACAGAAGCATAGAAACACGTAAATACAAACCAGTTCTTGCTAAGAAAAATTAATGAAAAGTGAGACCAAAATTAAATATTGTCAAAGTGATAACCTTCCTTCTACAATTCAGCGTTATAAAGGAATTAACAAAAGCTGAAGCTGACATTTCATTCGAAGGAATTCAAACATTTCGCTCGAATAAGTAACTAGGATCATAGATGACGTACAAGAATATTCTTCACACTGCCTACATCCTGCCTCTAGTGAGAAGCGAATCCATGACCACAACTTTCGAGTGGCAGCCATCATCGGCTTGGTTTGTCCATGAGTGTCATAAAGATGGCCTCATGCGAAGATGACAAAAGCATGTAATCTAGTCGGAAATCTCTGCGGACCTACGGCACGCAAGTGTACCTTAAGGAAATAGCAAAACAGGATATACTTGTAAATATGGAAATGTACATACGCGGTCTCCTAAAAGGCAGACAATGTCTTGATTACGTGATGGTCTATCAACTTCTAAAGCAGAAATCTGTTCTATGCAGTTCTTTGGTGCAAAAATTCAGATACTTTATTTACCGAAAATGCGTCATAGTATTGGTTTACATGATTTATATTTAATGCTATACAAATAAATAAATTCACTAACATTCATTTATGTTGGTAACAACATAACACATGAAGATGAGAATAATCAATACATAAGCTTCCGCCAGACAGCAGGTCCTTGCGCCAAAGCCGTGGAACACAAATAACCTTGTTACATTCGTATAAATAATAAAATAAACGAAGAACATTAAAATAATATCCAATACCAAAACAAGAAATTGCATATAAAGATTAATATGTGTTATAAAGCAAACATTACCAGCAGTCAGAAATATCTGTGATTTTAATTAAAAACATGTCAATTTGTGTTCCTTACTTGAATATGAAGAGTTAAGACTTAAGACATTAAACTGTCATATAGGCTTAAGGTAAAAGATCTGGTATAGATCCTACACACTCTTATCCTTGGCACTAGATAGGGGTGAGTGGTCAGCATCACGCCACGAGAGAGTTAGACTAGCTCGTGTTAATTAAGTAAGGTCGTGTATTGTGTTATATATTATGGCTCCTTGCACAGCCAAATTGAACACAATATTTACTACGCAAATAACACAACTTGAAGTTTCCAAAAGTCTCTTCATACGTAAAACACAATTTTACATTTTTAATAACAGCAGTGATGGATACTAAATAATATTGACCCAAGGATAGTTAAACAGAACAAAAATAAATTCCTTTCCCAGTTTTCATGTGAGTCAAATGCTTAAGACAAGGAAGTGGCATTCCAATGATTCTTGATCATGTCGGATGCCTTTTCAGCGATCATGTAAGTTGGGGCGACTAAATGACCCGATATGATGACTGGAATGATGGAAGAATCCACCACACGGAGATTCTTAATACCGCGCACTCGTAACTGTGGATCCACTACGGCGTCCTCGTCGGAATCAGGGCCCATTTTACAGGTTCCGCATTGGTGGTAGAATGTAAAAGTCATGTAGCGAATTGAACATTCCCAGTATTCATCAGAACCGAACTCGTGAACCTCGCACGGAGGCAGCGGGACTTTTAAGAGTTGCACGCCGTGCCTCTGAAAGGCCGCGGTGTCAGTCAGCCGAATTGCCCGTCTGATTCCCTTTATAAGAACATTCACATCCTCTGGTTCAGTCAAGTAATTGTGGTAAAGAAGAGGCTTGTCCATGGGGTTTCTACTTCTGAGCGTCAATCTACCGCGACTTTTTGGATGCATAAGCACAGGAAGCATCATGAAAGAATTTTCATCAGCTAAGGACTCGTAATTTTCATATATGTCGGGGCTAACTCCCCAGGCATCCCCTACTTCATTCAATGACGACGTAGTACTTGTTGAAAAGATTATTTCTATTTCTGGAAAACCGTCATTATCATCAATGTCCTCGAACCCAAATGCTTCTGTGCCAGCTGGTATTGAAAGTGGTCCTTCGCGGTCCTGTAGGTACTTGATAACGTTCGAAACGTCGTTTGGATTGTAGTCAGGCGGAATTCCGATCGTGGAATTTGCGGTGAAATAGAGGTTTCCAAGACTGATGTGATCCTGCAGGTTGAAGCCCACTTTTGAGTCCTGCATAACGCTGATCCCCAATTTCTCCAGATCGTCTTTAGGGCCGATCCCGGATAACATCAACAGCTGAGGAGAGTTTATGGCGCCCGCAGAGATTATTACTTCCTTCCTAGCGCGAGCTCTTCGTGGAAGGACACTCCACAATTCATATTCAACGCCGTACGCAGTCTGATTCTCCGGGTGAACGAGGATTTTTGTAACAAGGCTGTTCTTCAGGACGTACAAGTTCCTCCTCGTCCTCGCAGGCTCCAGGAACGCGCGATTTGCGCTGACCCGCATTCCGTCTTTCATGGTGCACTGGTGGAAAGAATATCCTATTTGACTTGCGGCATTATAGTCAACTTCATTGTATCCTGTTTCCACACCAGCTTCGATGAAGTCAGACGCAGCCTGGGTGTGATATGGAGGGTGAGTGATTGGCAGTTCTCCTTTCGTGGAATGGTATCTCTTGTCTGCAGCCAAACGCGGAATAAGCATGTCCTCAGACCGGAGGAAATACGGTAAGACATCGTCGTATCCCCAGCCTTCGGACCCTTCCTCTGCCCAGTCGTCATAATCCTTACGATTTCCTCTAGTGTACACCATATAATTGAGAACACTGCTACCACCTAAGACTTTGCCACGTGGCCAGTTGCACTGACCGCCAACCAGGCCGAGGCAGGCTGTTGATGACGGCTCTGTCTTATAACCCCAGTTTATCGGCGTCAACTGTGCATGTGCTGCGAACAGAGGAATGTCCTCCAGAACGCTCTCTTCTCCGCCAGCTTCGATCAGTAACACCGACCACTCGGAAACCTCCGACAGCCGTGAAGCCAGCAAGGATCCAGCCGCACCGCCGCCCACAATGATGAAGTCGTACTCGGCAAGCTGACCCGCGCATCCCCCACTCAGGATGAACACAATCAGCATAAACAAATTCGCAGACTTCCTCGGCTGAAGGGAAATCTGAAAATACTGTTATAACGTTAATCTAAATCTTTGCTTAACATGGATTACATAAGCTTCATGTTCTTTTTAATGTTCGTGTGCAAAGAAAATAAAAACATTCTGTTACTTATTCTATAGAAGAATTGGATATGAAAACTATCGACTGAAAAATTGAGAATAATTTATTTTAAGATTTTTGAGAAACATAATAATCTTGCTGCACAAAATTTAGTTGCACAGTGTGCCTCAAACAAAGTCAGAGTCGTCTGAATCAAACTATGCTGGTCCCTCAACAATAAGTTTTCAATAATGAAATTAATCAACACAGAAATTAGAGATCAGTAGCATTTAGAACCGTAGCAATGCATTCTGCTGAGAGTAAGTGATCTTTTGAAATGTAGTAAAATTGGACAGAACATTTCACTCGAGTTTTATTTGAGAATAAGAAAATAAGTTTTTTTTTGTATTAAGTAAATATTTCGATAATTTCTATCATGTCCATCTTTTTTGCCATATTTCGTTTCTTTACCCGATATGAACAACATTTTCATATAGTGTCTGTCAGTTTAATTTCTCCTTCATCAATTGTGTTAGACTTTATAATCATAAGAAATGGCCAGCTTCGTCTCATATAGCCTACAGTTCACTATTATAAAGTTTCATAACCTACTAAAAAAAGCATACTTACAGTTTCTACCATCGTTTATATTTTTAATCTAACATTTTGTCCCAATTTTACCCACAAATTATGCAATTATACAGTGTAAAAAGTCCACTCTCCGAAATATTTTCTATAACTTTATATTCCACAGTTCGTTCTGGTTAAAAAAACTCACGTCTAAATCTAAACCACATACAGACACATCCACAAGCATATTCCTTAAATCTTTCGTAACTATATGAATACAAAACTGAAATGTAGTCTGTCTCACTGCACACAAAATATACACTTCCACAAATGAAATATAACTCTAAAAAGAGTTCATTCTAAATAAAGTTATGTTAAATCTGTGGCTATAACAAACACCTGAGACATGGCTTTCGATCCACGAAAATTTGTTAGTATGATAATTCACCACGAAACTCTTTACGGACAAAACACTGGAATTCTGAAAGAAAAATGTTTTTCGCGTAAATTTCATCGCCCTGATGATGGAAACAGCAAGGACCTCTGAAACGTTGGCAAACTTCTACACGGCGCCACAACCTAGGAGACAGCCTCAAATCCTACTTAACACATTAATATTACTAGTAAATTGTTAAACTGAAATAATGAAATATCAGAAACTGCTTACCTGAGGAAGTGCCATACTTTACTAGGACAAGCTTATACAAATATTTAACTTGTTGGGAATACTGAAGCCTATTTATTTATCCTTACGCCAGTGAAACAACACGTGAGTGTTATCGAAATCAGAGATAAAACTTGTTTATATCATGACCGTTGAAAACCACGCAAGCTAGTATACGACAACCAGCTTATCGGACAGAAGAACGAGTTTCAAAAGTGAAAAATACAATTGCTGGCACACACGATAATGCCGGCATGACAGGAAGACCGCAAAAGCTTAAGCTTTTTAGACTTTGAATTCCACTTTCCATACCTGAATTACAGAGAATGCAGTTAATTGATATCACAGAAGATCCCTTTACATAATCTGTGTGTCCTTCTATACAGAATTAATATTATCACAACTTTAAAATCACTCACCGCAGTAGCTCAGTCAGTACAGTAACTAACTACACCCTGGACGACCTGGGTTCGATCAGCGACAGGAACAGAGGATTTATACCTCTAGCCTCTGCGTCCAGACCAGCTTACCGCGGTCTTTACAGGGGTAAATCGCCCACCCTCTTCTAGTACCGACGTTATAAATGAGTGAGATCAAAAGCACTTCGCCCCCCCCCCCAAAAAAAAAAGACGCCCATGTGGCGTGTAGTAAGACAGTTTCACTTTTTTCTACGCCTAAAACCATCTGAAAATCTTAATTTGCAATTCTTACACGTGACTCAGATGTAAATAGAATGAACTTTTACTCCCTTGTTCGTAACTTTCGCTGCTAATAAACAAACTTTGAGTGTTCAAAGAAACCAGGCAACATGATTAACCATATTATATAAACTACAGAACAAAAAATCTACATTAATGGACGTGTGTGCTGGACACTAAATTAGAAGCAAATTAAATGACTTCGTTCTATCGATGTCCCAGAGCTAGAAAAATTGGATCATTCATCGTATGCAAAAGCAAAATTTAGAAAAATCAGTAACAGAAGAAAATTATGACACCAATTTAAACAATACGATACCATGGGAATCATTCCATATTGAATTAGGTTAAGTGTATCGACAGACCTGTATTACACCATTTTTACAGAATAAATGTCATGAAAAACAAGAAATCTTGCCACTAGATGCAATCATAATGTGTTAACTGGTACCTTGACCATGGAGTTGATATTTTCTTCCGAAATCCTGGTAACCACACACAACAAAGTCCAAATTTTAATCACACTAAAAAGGAGGAGGGGGACAGGAGGATTCAGTTGTATATTTATCCATGAAATGAGAGTTGTCCTCACTCTGCTGGGGGTTGATTTCCTCACATACAGTGTTTTAAACAATGGCTCCCACATGCACGTGGGGATGAGTTCGGGAAGTAATTTCTATTGAAAAAGTCAGCATTGAAATGATCCCATTTGCAACCGTTGCAGATTCAATGTGACCGCAGGGGAAGACAAGGCTATTACCCTCACGAATTTATTACCAACATTTTATGAAACATCTCGTTCGAAACGTCCGCCCTGATTTCCGTAGCACATCCTTACCCCTATATATAAAAGGCGACTTCAATAATTCCTCCCTCGCTTGTATTTTAGTCCTCCAAGTTTTCTCATTAATCCTACATCACACGAAATCAACGCGTGGTTAAGTCCGGAGATCTAGGCGGCCAAGGTACTGGACCACGACGATAAATCGATTTTCTTAAACCTGTTTTAAGTAAACCGAAATTTCTTCCTGCACGAATGATCAAATTCGCTGATTTCAATCAGACTTCACCTTTTTTTCGAATTCGGCGATTCGGAATAGGTCCTCGAAATTTTTTAACTGATTCTAAACTGCAACCATCATAGAACCCATGGATAAAATGAATATTAACGCAACCTTTGATTAGATTATTCACAACAGCGTCATGTCTGACGCTCACCACGGAATATAACCAACAAATCTACAAAAAAAAAAAATCTAACGATAAAAACATTGGTAGCACCTTGAACTAAAACCGTGATCAGTGCTGCCATCTATTGAAGCGCACACGTGTAGCCATGTATAGTCCGCACGCCTTAAAATGTCCGTCGACTGTCGAAATATAATATATACAAGTGTTACAATAATCACATAAATGTAACTAATACGGTGAAACACGTTGAGACGTTCATTTGTTAAATTATCACAAAATTTGTCTGCGTTAAGAATGCAAATGCATGAATCTCTTTTCAAACGTATTTCTTAAATTCCGGCTAAAATTTTGATTTACATCTATATTTAGCCTACAGAACAGCGAATCTACGTTATTAGTAATAAGATACTAACCTTAATGTCATCGCTTTGTCTGTGGGTACAAATGCGAATGTGTGACTGACTCATATTCAATATCTGAAGGTAGAAGTTCCACCCTATTAAAATAATCAGCTTTAGGCATGATCTCTTCGTCAGAAGTAAAAATGAACACAGTTTAGAACAGGGGGCGAAACCTTCAATGACTAATAAAAACTACGAGTCACAGTCTTCGCGGTAAGAGCCATTTAGTACATTTTTGTGATCTCAAGGAATAAAACTATTTAGAGTTGAGAAACATTGAGAAAAACCAGAAAGAGAAGACGTTTAATATTTGTCCTGATGTACGAGGTGCTATCCAAAAGTTCAGGGAATTTGCCCATAAAAATTTGCTTATCATAACTCCTAGTTTCCACCGTCTCCTTCGAAGTAGTCCCCTTGAGCATAGATACAGAGATCCCAGCGTTTTTTCCATGACTAACGCAAAGCTCTTCTCTTCTGTTAAATAGTTCTGATGTTTTAGTTCTTTACGTCGCTGTTCAGAGGCCAACTGTTATTAGTCAGTCAACTTTCTACGTCCAGTCCCACCCTTGCAAATCGATAATAAAGTCAGTTTGCGCCTAATGCTCTCCCGTAGCCACTTAAAAACTTCACAAACACCATGGATTGTTCGTCTACGATCTGCAACCATAGCCTCTCGCACTTTCGCGATATTTTCTGGTTTTGTGCTTGTCGATGGTCGTCCTGAACGCTTATCGACGTCGACAGACGTTCGTCCATCCTTAAAGCGCTTGTACCACAAAAATGTTTTACTTTGACTCATAGCATTCTCACCAAATGCTCCCACAAACACGCGGTGGGTTTCTAAAGCAGTTTTTTTAAAGCTTAAAGCAAAATTTGATGCAGATTCCTTGCTCCTTAAAATCTGCCATTTATGCAGGTTTAAAAAAATCACCGAACCACTACAACACAACGTTACAAGACCTCACGAGACTCAAGAACGCGGCCTCGCGCCTTCACGGCTGTTGGCACATTAATTCTTAAAGGGTACTGCTCGCCCAATCTAGCGGCGGTAGGCCATTCCACAACCAGTTCGCGCGTGGAATTAAAATTCCCCGAACTTTTTGGTAGCACCTCGTATTCTCTCTTCTGGTAAATAAAACAGTAAAAATGACACACATAGAATTATTTTCTAAGTGGTTCTCGTCAAGTTTATGTTGGTTTATATAACAGTGAAGATAGAAGCAGCTAATGGACTTAGATAAGTCACCGTCTTACCCGGCATTTTATAACTTTTATATACGACCTGAGCTCACATTGACCACAGTTCCCCTATTCAGGTCAGAAAAAGTCGTAGCAGATACCCTCTGACGAGTGTCGCAACGTCACAATATCTGAACGTGACTGTCTTTTATAAAAATGTGCTTGAAACAAAAACGGCACAAGAGTGTCATATACGAGGTGCGATCGGAAAGTTTCTAGACTGCGCCTATAAAAACCCGTACACTTATCTCAGGTATTAAATTCATCCATCACCCTCGAAGTAGTTCCCCTTGGAGTGAACACAACGATCCCAGCGCCGCTGCCAAGCCTGGAAGCATCCCTGGAAATCTTTCTTTGTCAGCCTGTCAAGCACCATCTGCGATTCTGCCTGAATCTCTTCTATCGTCTCAAATCTCCTTCCCTTTAGCTGAATTTTCAATTTACCAAAACGCCCGTAACTAAGAAACAAATGCTAATTCGATGATGCCGGCTCGCACACTGATTCACTATGAATGTAGGCCGCACCCCCTAGCGGCAGAAGCTCGTACTACATCCAGTTCGCCCTCTATTGACA